CCCCTCCAGAGCAAAGCGCTGCTGAAAACCAGAGCTCTGGTCCCAGCAGAGCCCCTCCCGGCTGCACCGTGCCCCCTCCCCCTGCCTGGGCAGCACAATCCACAGACCCTTCCCCGGGCGGGTGCTGCCCGGGAGCTCCATGTCCCCCCGGCTGCAGCTGGACACGGCTCCGGGGCTGTCCCCAAGCGAGAGGCGGCACCGCCATCTACCGGCCAGCACCCGGGGACGCGGAGCCACAGGTACCTTCTGTCCCTGCCACCCCGCGCTGCCCTGCGCCTGCTCTTGGCTCGGTTTTGCTCTGAGCGCAGGCATCCAGCACGTCTTCGTGAAACCCAGCAGGTTTGTAGCTCTTCTCCCATCCCAAAGCGGTGAAATCCATCCAAGTATGGATGGAAGAGGGTGGGAGCTCCCTCTTCCCCAAATTCCCGATGCCCTGGCATTGCCTGCAGCTTCCAGATACAGCGTTCACCCCCTGCAAGTCCTTGCCCAAGGACATCTGTGATGGTTGTAGTGTCCAGCGCCTGGTGCCTGTTAGAGCTGCGTGCTCACCAGAGGGAGCTGTGTTCCCGATAGAGCCACAGCCCAATTTTGGCCCGATTCCCTACTCTCTCCCCTTTTTATAGCCCTTAGCAGTGCTCCAGGCAACACACTGCTCAGATCTAGCGGGCATCCAAAGGTTCCAGGAACAGAGGAGAAGACTGCTTGGATTTACATTTTTCCTGGCACTCCCCTAGCCATGCTAGGCATCATCTGTGCCCTGCCAGGAGACTCCTATGTCAGCCCCCAAGCCATAGTTATCCTGGGGAGGAGGAAATTGCAGTGAATTGCTAGCCAGTGCCACCAGTGCAATCCTAATCTCCTGGGCCAGGGAGATTAGGGCTGGAGCCTCCCCAACCCCTGGAACAGCCCTTGCTTCAGCTATGTTTCAGACTGATCCCAGAGCAGGCTCTAGTGTCATGACACACTTGAGCTGTCCCACTGCCCTCACCTATGTGCTCTTGGGAGAGTGACCCCAGCTGCCACCCACATCCAGCCCAGGAGAGGCTCTTCTTCCACCAGTGCTGCCAGTGCAGCCAGGCAGCATCTTCCCAGGGCCACTTCACAGCCCCTTGCTGGGAACTTTAACACTAAGTATGGGTATAACCAATATCTTCCCATCAAATCAGACACCCGAGAGCAGTCCCAGCCCAGCGGATTGCTTCTTCTGGTGGCTCTTTACAGCCAAGAAAGCAGGTTTTCAGCCTCAGCTTTACCTTTCAGGCTACATTCCCTGCCTTCCTGCACTGCAGGCTGGGGGCAGCCCAACCAGGAGTTGTCTCTCAGCAGTTTAACCCAGGCAGCAGCGTGGGTCAGAAGAGGGTTTCCCAGCGCCCACCAGGAGCCATGTCTGCTCTGTGTCCAGGCAGCCCTGCCGCCTGCCTTTACCACCGCTGTAAGGCCGTGGGGTCATGAGAACTTGTACAACTTTATTGGGGTCTGACAGAGCCCTGAGGAATCCCAGAGCCAGGGTGGTTGGGGCTGGAGGGAGGCTGGGAGCCCACCTCCGTGCTGTGGGCTCCAGCCTCCTCCTCCCTCCAAGCAGGGCGGTCTGGCACCTACTGCAGAGGGGCTGGGGGGCAGGAAAGCTTGGGGTAGCCCAGGGAGTCGGCCAAGGAGGGAAAAAGATGTGGTTTGGCAGGGGACGGGACTTCGGCAGGACAGTGCCCTTGCCCCTGCTGCCTGCCCCAGAGCTGGGCTGGGAAAGGCCCCTGTGGGCTGGGACCCAGCACCTTGCGTTGGGTCTCCAAGGCAGGAACAACTTAGGAGCCAACCAGCCCCCAGCTGAAAGTATGGGGCAGACACACTGGAGGTGTCTCCTCTTCTTGCTCTGGGGGTAGATGCAGCCACTCCATCACCCATCACCCTAGCTCTGCCCTTAACCTGTGGGAATACAAGCGTCTCCATTTATCCCAGAAAGGCATCTGTGGACGCTGGAGCTGCTCTTCGCGTGGCAAACTTGGGCTGCCTGAAATAGCTTGGGCCTGTGCTGCAAGCAGAACTGCAGCAGCCCCAGATCTATCACCTGGAGCAGGGCAAGGCTGGCAGCACTGCCCAGCTCTGCCTGCCTGGGGCTGCAGGGCTCAGCCCACCTGGGATCATCCCTCGCACCAGAGGCAGGTCAGGAGGGGCAGTCGGACACAGGAAAGGCAAGGCAGCAAATCTCTGCCTGTGCTGGATGTGGCTGGGGATCCTGCAGGGGGGGGTAAGGAAAAGGGGTTGTCTCCAAAACTGTGCTGGGCTGAGCGTGGCTTCCTTGTTGGAAGCCAAAAATAGCCTCTTTACTCAGAAGAGGCTGTAGGAGGGCTCTCGCTCGAAGCACAGCCAACTACCTAGGAGGCCATAGGACAGACACAGAGCAGCATGGCTTCACCAACGTAAAGCCTGGAAAGGCAGCAGCTGCAGCTGAACCAAATACCTCTGGGCATCTCATCATGCCAAAGGTGCCAGAGGAACTGTCTGCCAAGCAAGTTGTTCCATGGCAGAGCTGGAGAGCAACTGCACGCCGCCATGGCCAGCCCTTGGTCTGTGGCAGAGGCCCAGCTCAGGGGACGGAGACTGAACCAGGACAAGGTTTTTTTCCAGTCTTTTGTGGCCTTGCCCAAGGGATACCTGGAACCCCCCTGGGCAGCTCTGCCAGACCCCTTACAGGCAGCATCATGCTCTGTGGGGCTGCTGCTGCCTGCAATGGGATTCACCCAGCTGGGTAAACTGGCAGAGCACCAGGCTACCAAAGGCTGGACCCTTGCCAGGGGAGCGCTCAGAACAGCTACCCACATGGCAGCACCTCTGTGCTGTGCTGACTTATCACCTCCCCCTTCCGGGGGGTCTCACTCCCTCCCCCAGCACTTCTGTGGGCAGTTATTCCTGGAAACATCCTGGAGTCTCCTTCAATCATGCCTTCACCCGCTGACATTTATAGAGCTTCTTCCAGCGGCTGATGGATTTAATAGTGTGAATCTCCCCACAGCCCCAGCCTGTGTTTATGCCTTTTCCTCCACAGGGATTGTCATCGCCCCAGTGTCTGGTGGTGAGGGCTAAAGGTGAGGCTGCAGCTCTACTGGCAATAGCTTTCACTTTTGGGCAGGGAAACCTGTCCTGGCAGAGACAGCCCAGTCATACCTGTCTTCTGCAGACTCCCGCCTGCTGCCCTGCCTGGCAAGCTAATCCTCCCTGGTCTCTCCCAGCCATTTCTGCTTCTCATGTTTCTCCCTCTTGGGTGGAGGAGCGGCAGGGTTGCCAAATCTTGCAATACCCCAGCTATTTCTTAAAGCCCCAGCTCCTGATATGGCACAAAAACTGGTGGCTCCCGGCCTCCAGTGGCTTTTGTTTCTTTAAGGAGTTTCTCATCCTCCTGCTTGTGCAGAAAAAGCAGGGACCAGGAGCCTGTAGCCCATGCCAGGGAGCAGAGGATGGGCACAGCACAGAACGCAGGTGCAGTGGTCATGGCTTCTCTGTGCCCAGGGACACCGAGACCTCCTGGGCAGCCATCAAAACTCCCATAGGCATCTGTCACCCACCATCAGGAACAGGGGCAAGAGAGATGTGTAAGTGAAAGGTGAGGTTGGGGCTGGCTGGGGCTTGGGCAGGGTGTTGACACCCAGCCCTGCAGTGTGGAGGTCCCTGCCCTCCAACCCCCCAGCAGTGCTGAGGCCCTATGCCTCTGAGGGCTGCACATTCCCCTGGTCACCCAGCAGCAGGAAAACCCCTGTTTTCCCTTGCCACAGCCCACCCCAGCAGCCATCTGTGCAGGCCAGCCCTGAGCCAACCCAGGACCCGGTTACTGAGGGCAGCGCATACCACAGCTGTGAATGCACTTCCTCCAGGGACTTATTTTGGGCATGGCACTGTGGGACACAGGCCACTCCTACCAGCGCTGTGGAACATCCTGCGAGAGCCAGGCGTCACCCACAGGCACCTGGCTTGAGGATCCCAAGGCTCTGCTCTGTGAAGGTCAGCACAACTAGGCAATATTCCAGTGCTCAGCACATGGAATATCATGACCATATTCCAGTGCTCATCACATGACCCAGCCAGCCTTGCTCGCCTCACAGGTCCAGAGCTGGGAGGGACCCTATAAGGGGTCAGTATCAAGACAGTTAATAATATGTTAAAAGAATAAGTTATTCCAATAATTGTCATTACTGATAAATGATTGGAGAAAATATTAGCACTTTGAGCCAGGCTGGACAGGGCCTTGAGCAATGTGGTCTAGTGGAAGGTGTCCCTGCCCATAGCAGCAGGGTTGGAACTAGATGACCTTAGGTCCTTTCCAACCCAAACTATTCTATGATTCTACAAATTTTAAGATGCTCATCAAACATCAAACTACTTTGACCACTCAAAATCAGGGACAAAAGCCCTGCTGAGCCCCAAATCTCCTGTGTGAGGTATACAAAGCCCTATGATCCCTGTGCTGCCACGCAGCTTGGGACCCTCCTGCCAGCAACTCAGTCTGGAGCAGTCTGGAAGCATCCTGAGGATTCCCAGTCAGACTGAGGGTGTGGGATTGTCTGGATGAGAAACATGAACCCCAGCTACTCCAGTGGGGTCACAAGCCATGCCAGCAGCAAATGATGGGCCACCAGCCAAAGCAGATGGGGGCCACCCTCCTCCCTGCACCTTGCCAGGGTGGCTGGGCCAGGCAGGCCCCCTCAGCATACTGCCACCCTTAAACTCCACTGCTCTCATTTGATGGATGCCACTCTGGCACCCATCGAAAGAGCTTAACACTGGGCACAGACAGAAGATTGTGGTGTGGGAGCTGGGCCATGCGGCAGTAAGAAGGGGACATGAGGATAGAGCTGAACTGTTTTTATTGGAGGTGTCAAGAGCAGGAACAAAAACAAACCTAGAGGCTCCCCTACTCAAGTGCCATCCTCCCCCCTGCCCTCCACCAGGGCAGTCAGCATCACGTGTGCGTGCTACAAGACAACGGCAAGGCTTACACTTTGCTTCAGCCAAAAGCCAGACAAAGCCCCCAGCATCCCAGGCAGTGCTGCCGCCACCTCCTTGGCGACTGTGAGCTCAGCTTAGCCCTGGCAGAGGCAGGGCAGGACATTCACCTTCCCCTCTGAGGAGGGATGAGCTTTGCGTAAGAGGATGCTTTGGTTAAGGGAAGGACAGGAGCACAGCTCCACCGAAGTGCCAGGCAACATGACCCAGGCTGCAGCTCCCAGTGGGACATCTCGGAGGACCCTGGGAGAGAGCAAGCCATGCAGCCTGAGCAGAGCTGCAGCAGCCACAGGCAAACGACATCGCTGCCCCCTCTTCAACACAAACCAAACTGAAAGGGAGAGGGGTCAGAAGACAAACCAGGAGGGGAGGTGAAACAGGTCTGGAACGGCTTTCGGCTCTGGCTCACTTCCCAGCCCGCCGCTCCTCCTGGCGCTTGGTGAGGATGTATTTGAAGAACTCATACACGGACCAGGCGATTGCTGTTGAGGGCATCTGGTAAATGACTCTCGCCTGGACCCCTCTGAAGTAGGCAGTCAGGCCGCCCACTTGGTACACCGTCCTGAAGGCATTGGCCATGCCTGTGATGTGTCCGCTGATGTTGGAGCTCAAGGCCAGGGACTCCTGGGTGTTGAGCAGCGTTTTGCAAACGTCCAAAGGCGAGGGCCGCCAGCCGCGACAGCCCCCGCGCAGGCTCCGGAGACCACATGGGAGCCTGGGTTGTACTGTCTGTGGGGGTTGAGCTGCTCTTGCAAGAACTCGTAGGTCATGAAGTGAATGGCTTGGAAGGGGATGTTCATGGTGAGCTGGGTGGTGTAGCTGCGGTAGAAAGCTCCAGCCCCTTCGTTGCGCCACACAGCTCGCACACAGTCCATCACACGCTGGTAAGGCGAGTTGTACATCTGCATCCTCTGCTTGACCACTTGGGACAGACGGCGGCAGCCAGCAGCCAGGACCCAGGCACGGAGGAAAAGTGGAGAGAGAAGGGTAAGGGCAAAGCCAGGCTCCCTCCAAGAGCGTGGAGTTCGGTGACGCTGGCTTATGAGGTAATGACACACAACTTGGACCAGCAGTGCCCTGTGTGTTCCCAGGCAGGACTGCAGCTATTTGATCTGCTGAGGCATCACTATCACACAGACACCACCACCACAGCTGCTGCAGCCCCAGGGATCATCCCAATACCAGCACTTACACTCCAGATTCACCCTCACTCCCAAGCGACCAATGTCTCTCCATCCACTGCTGCAGACATCCCATAGTAAGAACCCCCCTCACATCTGTTACCTTCCAGACTGCTCTTGACCAGGATGAGCCTGTCCCTCCCCAGCCATCCCCATGTGCAGCCCCCAGAATAACCACAGCCCATTGTAGAGCCCACCAGCCAGGAATCAGCAGCAGCCGCTGCCGAAACACAGCTGCTCCAGGGCAAGAACCAGATGGCAAACCCTTCCAAGAGCAGGGCAGGGGAGCCCAGAGCGCAGCCTGCCCTGCTACTGCTGGGACCTGTCTCGACATGACCTCAAGGAGCTAAAAACGATGCAACTAAAAACTACTACAGCCATGGTAAGAAGACGAGCTCAAGGAAAGGAATGACGATGGTCTGACCATGCAGCTGCCGGCTCCTCAGTGTCCCAGCTGGGCAGTGGGTAGGCAGGAGCCTTGCCAGGCCAGATCAACTGCAGTCTACACTGGCACAAACCCTCTGGTTTTAAGAGCTAAAACTACGACTGACTGGCCTTTCCTTGTTATTCCTCCTTTTCTCACCATGCTCACAGACTTTAATTACAAACTGCCTTTCTCATACACACCAGGCTTACCAAAATCAATGTCTTCCAGACATTCCACACCACGAGATCTCCCTTCTCCTGACTTCTCTAGCATGTCTTTTGTATCCCATTCTTTTAATTTTCTTCTTGAACACAGGCCCGGAAGAGACTGTACCTCATCTTCCCGAGACCTCATCATAGCAATGCCCAATTTCCAAACACTTGTAATAACTACAGCAGTACAGCTCACATCTCTCTTGCCTTCTCTCCTGCTCCTTGTAACTGTCTCCAGCCAAACTCCTGGGCGAAAGCCTGGTGCCCTCCGTGCTCCTCCTAAGCTGAGGTTTACTGTGCTCCCCAGAATTCATCTCTTCTACCTACCCCTTCTGTAACACCCACCAGGATCCTACCCAGAGCCACAGCCACTGGCCCCAAAGGATCCCTGCAGTCAGGCGAGCAATGAGGAGAGCACCCTCTGTGCCACAGAGGTGAGCTAAGCAGTGCGGGCATACCCCGATCCTCCCCTCCCCGGCAGGCCAGGACCATCGTTACCTTCGGCAGGGTTCATGGCTGCATCGTGGAGCAAGGTTGCTACACACCCGGCTGCACCTGCAAAACAAGAACTGCCACATGTGAGGGGGGGAGGTGAGGGACCCCGGGGCTCCACCACAGCCCCGAGTCCCCTGCCAAGGCAAAGGAGGAGGCCCCTGGAAGAGGGCGAGATACAAAGGTGGCCTCCATCTCCCTGCAGGAGGTGGGCCAGTCCTCAGCAGCTCCCACCCGGAGAGCTCAAGGAGAGTGAGAGGATTGCGACAGGCTACCAAGTCCCATGGGCTGACCGGTACTCGCTTGGGCCCAGCCCTCGGGGACAGGCCAAGGCCACCAGTTGGCAGCGCCCTGAGGATGGCCAATGCCCCCACGGAGGAGAAACATGGCAGAACACAGCTGAGGAGGGGACGTGCCCTGCTCTCCCCTCGGCCCCACGCCTTCCCCACTGTGGCGGCTCCTCGAGACGAGTAACGGGCAC